ATTCCAGAAGCAGTGGCTCCCATCTGGAGAGCAGCTGGGAGATGTCCCAGGATGATAGCTGAGCCCAGGGAGCTGCCATCTAGTTGGGAGCCCAAAGGAGAAAGGGCTCATGACAGGGGGTTTCCCAAAGGTAAAGTACCTGAGGTGCCAGAGCTTCTGAATAAAGCATGGAGGATTGTTTGAAGGAGATCATGGCAAAAATAAAATAGAGACAATTAGAAAGTCCTGGTAAAGCAAAAACCTACACACACAAAACTTAAACTTTGTACCCTAATTGATTCTGCAATGGCCATGTTTACATTGTCACAATACTATAAACACTAATTAACCAAAGATGGTGATACAACAGGAGAGGAAAGGCATGGGCAGTGTAATATAAGTGAACCCTCATCTGTTATATAAGAAGTATAGATGAGGGTGAGCATATTTTCATATACTCATGATCCATTTTTATTTCCTCTTCTGTTTTGTGTTTTCGTTATTTTTCTATTTCTATGTATTTCAAACCAAATTCATCATATAGCTTACTGATAAACCAAAGAAGGATTCCCATCAGGGTAAGGAGGAGTTAGATGAAGTATTAACTAAAGCAGTTAAGTAAGAGGCAGAAATGAAGCACCAAATTAGGAAACAGGAAGTAAAATTGTATCATTAATGTAAAATGATGCGATTGCATAACTTGAAAACCCAAGAGAATCAATGGAAAAAATTGCAAATAGTAAGAATTCTGTAGGATTGATGATGCAAAAGTAATATGGCAAATTAACAGCATTCCTATATAAAATGAACAGAAGTTTAAAAATACAATGGACGGGGCTTCCCTGGTGGCTCAGTGGTTGAGAGTCCGCCTGCCGTTGCAGGGGACGCGGGTTCGTGCCCCGGTCCGGAAGGATCCCATATGCCGCGGAGCGGCTGGGCCTGTGAGCCATGGCCGCTGAGCCTGCGCGTCTGGAGCCTGTGCTCCGCAATGGGAGAGGCCACAACAGTGAGAGGCCCACGTACCGAAAAAAAAAAATATATATACAATGGAGGGGAAAACCAATTGTAATAGCAATAAAGGGTAGGGTCCATTATGAAGAATTCTGAAACATTGTTGAGGAACGTAACAGATGAACTCATCAAATGGAGATGAAAAACTTCTTGGGTTGGAAAATGTTGATCCTAAGTATAACGTTGTTAATTCTTTCTAAATTATGCTTTACACTTAAATATCTAGATAATACCTAGATAATTTTTTTTCTTGAAACCAGACAAGCTTATTCTCAAGTTCATATGGAAAAATAAACATGCATGAATAGCCAGGAAATTCTTATAAAGAGGAGTCGTGAGAAGAGAGCAGCTCTACCCTATGTGGAAACATAGTTAAAATAGAGAGGTACTAGAGAATATTTGGTCAGATCAATACAACAGAATAAAGAGCTCAGAAATAGATACAAATTTATATGGGCACTAAAATAAATAGGTCTGGGCACAGCTGGAGACATATCTGGGGAAAAAGTTGACTCCTACTTCTTTACTTCAAAATAATGGAACAAATATATAAAAGTTAAAAGTGAAGCCATAAAAGTACTAGAAGAAAATATGGAGCATTAAAACATATATATAATTATATATATGATCTTGGAATAGGGGAGAACTGTGTGCTCATGAAGCAATTCAACAAAAGACTGGCTAAATCAACTATTTAAAAATATACATCTGGGGACTTCCCTGGTGGTGCAGTGGTTAAGATTTCATGCTCCTGATGCAGGGGGCCCAGGTTTGATACCTGGTCAGGGAGCTAGATCCCACATGCATGCCACAACTAAGAGTTCACATGCCACAACTAAGGAGCCAGTGAGCTGCAACTAAGGAGCCCATGAGCCACAACTAAGGAGCCCCCCCGCCACAACTAAGGAGCCTGCCTGCTGCAACTAAAACCCGATGCAACCAAATAAATAAATAAATATTAAAAACAAACAAACAAAATACCCCACTCTTCCCCTTCCCCTTCCTCAATAAAAAATATATTTATATATACATATGCATTGGAAAAAAGCACATATAGACGAGATCAAATAACAAATGATAAATTGCTGAAAGATACTTGCAGACATATATGGCAGACAAATGCCTACTTTTTTCTATAGAAAGAATCACTACAAATCAATATAAAAAATGAAAAATCCAATTAAAAAATGGGCAAAGGATGTGAATAAACTTCAGAGATAAAGAAAAATTCATTGATCTTGCACAGATAAAAAGATGCTCAACCTTACTTGTAATGAGGAAACTGCAAGTGAAGATTGCAATGAGATGTCAGTTTTCATCCATCAAAACTCAACAAAGATCAAAAATAGAATAGCGTATTGGCAAGGATGGGGGGCATTCATGCATTATTGGTGGGAGACTAAATTGGTATAAACCAAGATCTACTGTCAAGTGGAAAAGGCAAGGATAGAACAGTGTGTACAGCATGCTACCTACCATTTCCATTTAAAAAAGTAAACACATATATTTTGTATAGATGTAGAGGAGCTCTGGAAGAAAGCACAAGACACGGGTCTCCTTTCTTCCTTCCTTCCTTCCCTCCCTCCCTCCCTCCCTCCCTTCCTTCTTTCCTTCCTTCCTTTTTAAAAAAATAGAAATAATTTTATTTTTTCTAATTATAAAAGCAATACTTGCTTCTCATCATAAAAGAATCTGAAAAATACAGAAAAATGTTAAAAAGAAAGCAAAACCATCTTCAGTCTTATCACTCAGAAAAATCACAGTTAACATTTTGGCATATATTCTTTCAGATATTTTTCCTGATATATATTTTTTGAAATGGCATCCTAGCTTGCACACTATTTTCAATCTGATTTTTTCTCATTCAACAGCATCTCTGTCTTCCTATTTGAATGGTCAAAATTTATACTGCTTTCTAAGAGAAACATATGTATTAAGGACATTTATCTCTGTGTGTCATATCACAAATATTTTCCTAGTTTGGATTTTTAATTCGTATGAGGTTGAAAACTTTTTATTTGGGGGAATTTTCAAACATATATAAAAGAAGGGAGAATAGTGCAATTAGCCTCGGCATATCCATCACCCAGCTTCAACCATTATCAAAAATAGCAAATTTTGTTTCATCTATATCCCTCCCACTTCCCTCCCATTATTTTGAAGCAAATCCCGTATATCATAACATTTTATCTGTAAATATTTTGGCAATATAGTGTCTTTGACATATGGAAAATTTCATTGTTTCAGTAAATCAAATCAAATCAGAAGAAAATAGTCTTCATAAAATCCCAGCACGATTTCTTTTTTTTTTCAGTTTCTAATAGTATTTATTTATTTATTTATTTATTTTTAACATCTTTATTGGAGCATAATTGCTTTACAATGGTGTGTTAATTTCTGCTTTATAACAAAGTGAATCAGCTATACGTATACATATATCCCCATATCTCCTCCCTCTTGCGTCTCCCTATCCCACCCCTCTAGGGGGGACACAAAGCACCGAGCTGATCTCCCTGTGCTGTGCAGCTGCTTCCCACTAGCTATCTATTTTACATTTGGTAGTGTATATATGTCCATGCCACTCTCTCACTTCGTCCCAGTTTACCCTTCCCCCTCCCCGTGTCCTCAAGTCCATTCTCTACGTCTGCATCTTTATTCCTGTCCTGCCTCTAGGTTCTTCAGAACCTTTTTTTTTTTTTTTAGATTCCATATATATGTGTTAGCATACGGTATTTGTTTTTCTCTTTCTGACTTACTTCACTCTGTATGACAGTCTCTAGGTCCATCCACCTCACTGCAAATAACTCAATTTCGTTTCTCTTTATGGCTGAGTAATATTCCATTGTATATATGCCAGCACGATTTCTTGAACAGCATATTCTTTCCCCCACTGTCTCGAAATGCCAGTTGGATTTTCTGTTCTGTTCCTTTGATCCATCTGTTGACTCTGACACCAATACTTTACTGCTGCAATTACTATAGGTTTAAAATATATTTGTTCATATTTGATATGACAAGCATCAGGGGATGCTCTAATTCAGTCTTTTTTTCCCCAAAAAATTTCTTATGTATTTCTTCACATTTATTCATCCAGATTAATGTCAGATTTATTTTATAAACTTCAACTCAAAAACTCAATTGAGATTTTGATTGCACTTATGAGAAATTCATGAGGAATTTGGGGAAGATTGACATTTTTACAATATCAAGTCTTCTTATCTTAAAACCGAGTATGGCCCTCTATTCATTTGAATTGTTCAGTAAAATGTGAGAGCTTTTCTTTATAAGGTCCTGCACTCTTCCTGTTAAGATTTTTTTCCCTGATATTTTATATTTTGGTTGCTATTGTGAATGCAACCCTTTTCCCCATTATATTTTCTAACTGGTTGTTACCATTATGTAGAAAATCTAATATTTTTTTCTATATTTCTTTTGTAACTACCTTAATCAACTTATTAATTATAATAATTTTCACTTGATCCTTGGATTTTCTGTGAAGTTAATCAGGATTTTGACTCTCCCTTTCCAATAATTATATCACTTTTCCTTTTTCTTTTTTTTTTTTGTGGTACGCGGGCCTTTCACTGCCGCGGCCCCTCCCGTTGCGGAGCACAGGCTCCGGACGCACAGGCCCAGCGGCCATGGCTCACGGGCCCAGCCGCTCTGAGGCACGTGGGATCCTCCCGGACAGGGGCATGAACCCGTGTCGCCTGCATCGGCAGGCGGACTCTCAACCACTGCGCCACACAGGGAAGCCCTCTTTTTTTTTTTACTATGGCATTGACTAGAACTTATTTCCATACAATCTTTCATGACAGCTTGAATCAAGGACATCTTTGCATAGTTACAGGATAACGTTTTATCTTTAAGCATGACATTAGTTCCTGGTTTAGACTTGTACTTTATCCCTCTTTGGAATTATCACTCTATTCCAAGTTTACTCTGGGGATTTTTTTTTAATGTATACTATATATTTTCAAATGCCTTTTGGGCATCTATCAAATGGCCGTATGATTTTTCTCCTTTAATCTCTATTCCTGAGACAAGTTGCATTGATAGATTTGTTAAGGTTGACAGTCTTCGAATTCCTGCAATAAACTTCACTTTGTCATTTATACTATTATATTTATTACTCTTCTGCTGGATTCAGTTTATAATATTTTTTATCCCATTAATGTTGGTGTACGAGACTACAGACTACTCTTTCAGAAGCTTAGCTGAGAAGGGGAAGAAAGAGAGAACCAAAGCTATAGTGACTCAGAATGAAGGAAGTATGTATTTTGAGCATACTTCCTCAAAGTATGAATAGGTTTGTGGGAACATGTCCAGGGGAGAGGAAACACTTGAGGACGTAAGAGAAAGAGGACATAACTGATGGAACAGGAGCCTGTGACGTTGAGACTGGAGGGGAAGAGTCCAGGACAGGTGAGAGAGGCCACATCAGTTGGGGCCGGTCACGGTTGGAGGCCTCAGTTGCCATGGCGTCAAGGAAGCACGGTTATCCTCCCGGGTTAGTGGGTGAGGGCTGGAGGCATGTAGTGGAAGTTGAGAACAGCTGCTGAGAGAAATGAGGAAAATCAGAGGATTGTCATGGACGCCAGGCCACACTGAGGTTGAAGACCTTGGCTTTGGGGGGCTTCAGTTTGCAAGATGATGTAATTATTTTTTCTAGGAGCGCTGTGGGTGTGGAAGGGGACTGTGGGCCCGACGCGGTGTTGGCGTTCTGATGGGTGAATGTGGAAGGCAGCCGGTGGAGCTGTGGACCTGACAGTTCCCGCACGTTGGCAACGGGGATCATGAGGAACTGAGAGGATACACACGACACAGCAGGCCTCTCGGAGAGCGCAGGTTGTCTTTTTTTTTTTTTTGCGGTACGCGGGCCTCTCACTGTTGTGGCCTCTCCCGTGGTGGAGCACAGGCTCCGGACGCGCAGGCTCAGTGGCCATGGCTCACGGGCCAAGCGGCTCCGCGGCACGTGGGATCCTCCCGGACTGGGGCACGAACCCGTGTCGCCTGCATTGGCAAGCGGACTCAACCACTGCGCCACCAGGGAAGCCCACAGGTTGTCTTTTTTAAACGTCCACCTTGAGGCAAAATTTTCCATTTTTGCCCTGTCACAAAACAAACAGAATGCACCATGGCTTAAGCCAGATAATAACTTATGTAACTGATTTCATGCTCTGTCACGTTTCTGACAGTTACAGAAAGTCTGTGCTTGTGTTGGGACCACAGGAAGTGTGTTCTACTGCAGGGGAAACGCTGAGAGGAGGGAGTGGTTCAGGTGATCTGGCCAGCAGATCCAGCTGGCCTGGTCCACTGGGAGAAAGGGGGCTGGTGGAGACAGGGTGGCTGGGAGCTGGCCAAGGCTGTGAGTGCCTGAAGGGAGCTAGAGGTGAAAGACCTGGAGAGCAGGAGGCCCAAGGCCCCAAGGCTGGCCTGTTGAGTGGGCATTCTACCTGGATCTTGAGGTCACCCCCAAATGATGCTGGGAGAGACAGGGAGACAGTAAGCTGGACATAGGTTTCAGTGAGTGTGGAGGAATGTCCAGGGAGTTGGGAGGATGGCACTGAGGTGGGGAGGTGGGTGTGGCTGGAAGGTAGGCCCTGCAGAGGAGGAGCAGGTATGTTTGGAAAGTTGCAGTGGGGAGCGAGAAAAATGCTGACTCGCCCTGGGCCCCTCGATGGAGCCTGGGAGGCCCAGAGAGGGGAGTGACCCACTGGAGACCATCCCTCACTCCCACCCCCGCCCACCCAGCTAACAGGCAGCAGGGCTGGGATACACACCCGGGTCTGTGGCTCCCTGAGGGTCAGCAGGCAGACTTCTGGGTGAGGGTGTGACCTGTAGGCACTGCCATCCCCATCCTGCAAGACCCTGTCAGAGCTGAGCCCAGAGGCCCCCTCTGGCACTCCCTGCTGAAGGTGGCCTCTGGGTGGCTTGGCTAAAAGTGTCCAACCCCAGTAATAAAGTTGCAGACGTAGAGAATGGACTTGAGGACACATGGAGGGGGAAGGGTAAGCTGGGACGAAGTGAGAGAGTAGCATGGACATATATACACTACCGAATGTAAAACAGATAGCTAGTGGGAAGCAGCCACATAGCACAGGGAGATCAGCTCCGTGCTTTGTGACCACCTAGAAGGGTGGGATAGGGAGGGTGGGAGGGAGACACAAGAGGGAGGAGCTATGGGGATACATGTATATGTATAGCTGATTGTTATAAAGCAGAAACTAACACACCACTGTAAAGTAATTATACTCTAATAAAGATGTTAAAAAAATTTTTTAAACTGTCCAACCCTGAATGTGCCCAGGCAGCCAGGGAGCACAAGGATGGAGCACCCTTCTAGGACCCAGGGGCTCTGCCTTCACATCAGAGTGGCCCAACCTGTCTCCCCTTCCTGGTGCATTCTTTTGGGGCTGTCCCCTCCTGGATGAAAGAGGATGTAGTGCCTATGGGATTTGGCCCTGGATGGAAAGGGTTTACATCTGACCGTAGCTATTGCGGGCTCTGGAACCTTGGGCAGGCAGCCATCTAAGTTTCAGACTTATTACCTGCAAAAAGGGGATGCAGGACTTAATCTAGCACGTATGTTTCCCTTGCTAGTTGCTGTTATGATGAAAGGAAGGAGTCCACGTGTCACCGGTTGAGTTCTCCAGGTTCTCTCAGAAGCTGACTCTGGGAGGGCGAGTAACAGACTGGACGTTTATTAGGTCGCACTCTCAAGATCAGCACCCACTGGGGAGGGGGGGAGCCCTTCAGAACCGCCGAGTCAGTTAACTCCTGTGCTTTGCCTTGGGAAGGAGAGGGCAATGGGCAAGGTGCCCTCCTCAGTCAAGGACGGTTCCAGAAGAGGGATGGGGACCGTCAGGGTGGTAGCACTCCCTGCAGCTGGGAGAATAAGTCCTTCAGTTGTAAAGCCAGTCCTGGGCTCAGCCCCTGCATGGATTGGTTGATCTGGGGGAGCCACGAACCCCCTAATATCATGAGAAAAGTTGGTATCCTTTCTAAGGTGAGAGTCTACTTTTTATCAGCTCCCCTAAAAGGGTCTCTGACCCTAGTTTTTAGGAACGATTACTTTAGGGTCACATTCTAAGTGGAGAAGGGGGTCTCCTTGACCGTCTCACTCTACAGTCCGCCTCTCCCCACCTGGTCATGTCTGGGAAGCCCCTTCTAGGTGTAGTGGTTAATAGGGAGGTGTTGGTGCCAGACTCACTGCTTGGGTTCAAATCCTGATTCTGCCCCTTGCTGGCTGCGGCACCTTGGGGGATTTTCTTCTGTAACACTGGGGGGGGAAAATAGCCCCTATCTCACAGATAGCCGTGTGGACAAATGTCAGTGCCTAGAGCAGCGCCTGCTCTCGTCTAAGTGTGAGCTACTATGTGAAGGGATCATCATTTTCACCACACTTTCCAGGATTTGAGCTCCGTCAACCTCCTTTCTCACCACGTTGAAACATCATTTACCATATCCTCTGTTTCTCTTCAGAATGTGTTGGTATTTTTGAGGGGCTTCCAAGGGGCTCCACCTGAGTCCTTGGCTTCATACCTGCTTGACTCCTTCTAAAATCTTCCTTGCTTTTTTTTCTGTCTTCCGTCATTTCACCTAAGCCATCTGCCCCTTCCCCAGGACCTGTAAACAGCAACAGCTCCCCTCACCCAACACCCTCCTCAGCTGCTTCCTCTTTCTGCTTCCTTTCCCTTGACCAGTAAACTTCTAAAAAATAAAATAAAATACCTCGAACTGTTGCCTTCCCACTTTCCCCTTCCCCACCCACTCCTCAAGTGCTGACTGTGGGCTCTACCCGGTTTCCTTCTCCGAAGCTGCTCTCTGAGGTCATATAGCTGCTGAGAGCAGAGGACTGGCGCTGCAGATGCTCTCCCTCCAATCCCCCTCCCTTCCCCAGCCCCTCCCTCCCTCCTTTCTCCCCTTGTACTTGCTCAGCCCAGGCCACACTCCCAGACTGACTCCCAAATTACCAGCCTTCTCCAGCTCTCTGGTGCCTGTCCAGCCCCCTCTTCCTCCTCAGCCTCAAGTCAGGGCATCACTCTTAGATCTGTCGTTTCTTACATCTGTAGGTGGACGTTTTTCACCAAATTAGGGGAATTTTCAGCTTTTATTCCTGAAAATATTCCTTTCTGCTCAATTCTCTCTCTCCTTTCCTTCTGATTCTTTTTATGTTAAATTACCTGATGTTGTCCCATGGGTCAGTGAGTCTCTGTTCCTTTTTTAAATCATTTTTCTGTGTTCTTCAGATGGGATAATTTCTATTGATCTATTTTCAAGTTCAATGACCCTTTCTTCTGAGACTCCAATCTGATGTTTTAAGTTTATCCAGTGAATTTTTTATTTTAGATCTTGTAGCTTTGAGTCCTGGAATTTCCATTTAGATCTTTTATATAGTTTCCATTTTCTGCTGAAATTTCTACATCTGTTCACTCATTATGAATATCTTTTCCTTTTAAATGTCTAAACATATTTATGGTAGTTGTTTACAAATTCCTTTCTATTAATTATAACATCTCTATTACTTGGGGACCTGCTTGTATTGGATCTATTTTTCTTGATAATGGGTCTCATTTTCCTGTTTCTTCTCATGTCTAAAATGTTTTCTTACTGTATTGTTGGCCATTATGGATGAGACATTGTAAGGAGTCTAGTTTTTTTTTTTTCCTTTAAAGGGTGTTGATTTGGTTCTGGTAGACATTAATTGCAGGTGGATCATCTTGATCCTGGCAGGCTAATGTTTTTTTCTTCACTGTTTTTTATTTTTTTTCCTTGGTCTTAGGGTATGGCAGTGACTCTAAGTCATGGTTGTTAGCCCAAGGTGTTGACTTTCCGGGATCACTCCTGAATGCTCCAAGTACTTACTGAGGTCTTGCTACTTCTGGTTGGACTGGAATTTCGTCTCTGGGCCCTGAATGACCTGTAGTAACGCCGTACAGCAGCCGCTCCCTGCTGGGATTTGTGGAGTCTTGTCCTATGCAGAGCAGCCCAGCCCTCAGCCAAGCACCCTTGTAGATGCCACAGTCTCCTTCAGCACAACTCCCCTCTCTGTACTATGGTGTTTGTTTGCTAGGGCTGCTGTAACAAAGTACCACAGACTGAGTGGCTTAACCAGCCTATATTCCTCACAGTTATGGAGACTGGAAGTACAAGATCAAGGTGTCCCTCTGTGTATTCAGATTTCCTCTTCTTATAAGGATGCCAGTCAGATTAGATTAGGGCCCACTGTAACAGCCTCATTTTAACTTACTCATGTCTTTATTTTTTTATTCTATTTTTTTTTAATATTTATTTATTTATTTATCTTTGGCTGCATTGGGTCTTCGTTGCCGTGCGTGGGCTTTCTCTATTTGCAGCGAGCGGGGCCTACTCTTCGTTGCGGTGGCTTCTCTTGTTGTGGAGCACGGGCTCTAGGCGTGCGGGCTTCAGTAGTTGTGGCACGTGGGCTCAGTAATTGTGGCTCTCGCGGCTCTAGAGCACAGACTCAGTAGTTGTGGCGCACGGGCTTAGTTGCTCCGCGGCATGTGGGATCTTCCTGGACCAGGGATCGAACCTATGTCCCCTGCATTGGCAGGCGGATTCTTAACCACTGTGCCACCAGGGAAGCCCTACTCCTGTCTTTAAGAGCCCTGTCTCCAAACACAGGCACATTCTGAGGTATGGGGGTTACAGCTTCAACATGTGAATTGCTGGGGGTGGAGGCACAGTTCAGCCCATACCAGCTATCCGGCCCCTCAAATTCTGGCCTCTTCAGCAGCCCTGAACTCTGATCTCTGCCATGTGGAATTCGCCTGGGTAGAAATCTGAGGCAAACGGGGGCCTCACCTCCTGCCTCTCCCTTCTCA